TGGTCTCGGCCACTACTGTCCTGTGCAAACTGAACTGAACTGAACTGAACTGACCTTGAAAAGTGTTGCTGTTCGGTTACGGACTTTCGTTTGCTCGCGGATGGCTTCAATTCTCGAGAAATTGTCCACCCTTCGTACAATAATTCGACAGAATGGAGGTCTTTATGGGTCACTAGTTACTGCTTTCAGGTAATTTGTGATTTTAATAAGGTTACCTCCACAGAACGGATGAGCTTAAGTGGGGAAAACATGTGGGAACTGACTATCTGGGTAACAAATACTATGAAAATAACAAATACTTCATGGGTAAATGAAATATTATCCTGATGATAACATCCCCCAGGGAGAAACCGTTGGGTTATTTATGGAAACCGCTTCGGCTGGGATTATGAGGGTTCTCAAGTTCCACCTGAGTGGTATGTCGCATTGCGTCTTTTTTAGTAAAAACCCAGGCACCGTTGGCTTCATCACATGACCGACGAAACACCAGTTGATAAACCACCAGACAAGAAAAATTGGACATTGCCTCATTCTGAGAACACAACTCTAGATGCGACTAAGAAGTACATCCCGTATTCGACTACACGTCCAAAAGTTGAGCCATGGAAACCAACTTGATTGTATTCTTAGTCGAAAGTGCTTTCCGTCGCTCGCTTATATTAGTTTTATTTTCCTACATAATGCGCTTTTGTTTTGATATTTGCGTTGGGTTTCCGGTAATTGTAAGAGACACGGTCTCCACCTTCCGTCTATATCCTATCCTCCCTCGCTGAGTCTTGCAGATTTACGAACCTGGTAACCACAGTTTTAAGTTGCCTTAGTTTTGGTGTCACTGTTAGTGCTCGGTGTCGGGGTTCCTCGTTAGCACTATTTGTCACTGGTAATCTGTTCTACAAAGTGGTTAAATTTGTCTGTAAGATAGACCGATGTGGGACGTTCCCAATCAAAGTTCTACACTCGTAGGTGATTGACTAAGACCATTATATGTTGCTGGTTCATAGATAAATTGGTGCCAAGCTTTGCGTTATTCCCTTGGCGCAAACCATCCCATACAAGCTACTCAAAAGCGGTACCTTCCCTTCAACTGTTACGGCTTCCAAACGGGACGAGAGAAGAGTAGTGAGCGAGGTAGTAGAGCATAAAGGGTATGGCTCCACCTAAACGGTAACACCGAGCTATCTACTTAACTTGGATGCACTGTTCAGGGTATTCGATGTCAAGGTGTATGTGGATGCTCGATGTATGTGCGTCTGTCGTGTGTTTCCAGTATCCATATCCCCATGCTGTTACCTAACACTGGGCTTCCAGATTCGTTGAAAGATACTTCCCACAAGCTTTATTTCCTTTCAGTCATTCTATCTGTTCTTTTTGTCCGCGTCGAACAAGATGTTAACTCTCCATTTCACTAATAGTGCAAGACACCGTGCTTTCTCATAGCACGAGCTCTTCCTTCTTTCCACTCAAAGCATTCCTTTGGTTTACCGTTTGAGTAGTAGCTGTGGGAGATAGAGGCCAGAATCACTCGGCTCAACCTGTTTTATACCTCCCAGTTCCAACACCGATCCTTTCCAGTCCTACATCCGGCTTGTCTTGTTTCTAATTTGTTCCTTAATTAATTATTTCAGTTTTTTATTACACAATGTGGGCTACGGTAACCCCCATAGACAAATAGAGTACTGTAAAATAGAGAACGGGGGGATATTCATGCAAGATCCAGTTTATTGATTCTGCATTTAAAGTGTAAGGTTGCAAGTTTGGAGGAATACAGAAAATGGGATGGTGTTCCACAACATGACAGTTCTGGGAAAAAAGCAGAGTGGATCAGAGAAGTCTGAAATCTGCTAAGGATGACTCGATACCTGTGTATGGAATGAGCGGGTAAAAGTTGGAGGAAGGGGAACTACCGAAATAAATTCCGAAGAATAAAAACCAAACGGTGGAGCAAGGATAACGACGAAGCTGCCCGAAGGTGGGCTAGTGACTGCAAGTTAGATGTTAGGGAAGAATCATCGGTTAGCCGGATGGCCTTTCGTTGAACACCATCAAGAGGGGTGAGAGAAGAAGACGAAGCCCCATCCCACACGTGACTTACGTATTCAAGAGCAGGGCGGATTTGGGCTTTGTATAGTAGAAGAATATGATCTGGGGTGAAATACGTCTGGCGCGAAATAAAACACCAACCTTGTGCTCGGCACGAGAAGCAAGCTGACCTATAAACGGAGGCCTGCATAAAGTAGAAGTTACGGGCAATCCAAGAAGGGAAACAGAGTATGTGGAACACAGTTGAGTGGAATCGATAGATAACGGGGAGAATAAATGGTGTTTTAAGGAAATTGAAAGAAGAGAGCTTTTAGAACTATTGCCTGAAACGCGGTTTGTAATGCCCCTATACTGTACGTCTTTGACACTGCTCACCCAAACCAACATCCTGTAACTACAATGCAATTCAGAAACATGCTCGCTCACCATATAGGGCGCGCTTCATTTGTTTCAAGACTACTCGGTTTCGTCCGCGTCTGGTAACCGAAAAGTTTAGTCCCTCGCCAAAGCGGTTGCACATAAGTTTTGTCGATCCAACTTTCCGTTCATTACCAATCCCTCTGATTTTCCTGTTAATAAACTTCCTGAAAAACCAGAGGTCTTCGCTGTCTGGTTGGCCTTTAACTCCGCCTTATCTACTGTTCTACTCTCCTCTCACACCGAACCACTGCTTTCTGCCCTTCAAAACAATCAGAAATATCAATCGAACTCTTCGTAGTTTAAAGTTTACTAAACCATCTGGTCCAGACGATATTGCACCCATCGTACTAAAAATGTCTTCCGCGGGGTTGTTCCCTGTTCTCCGACGTCTTTTTTATTACATAATTTCGTGTAATAAACAAGAGACGGGGTAAACCCCATAGTCGCCAGGACCGGCGGTTCAGTGATGTAAACCGGTAACCCAAGCCCCGGAACTTGGAGTGGTGAACCACATAAGGCCCCGTATGTTAGGCGTGTTATTNGAGCTAGAACCTCGGATCATAGGGTCCAAAGCACGCCTGTGACAGCGACTAAACCACCGCACCACCACCACCCCTAGCTTCAAATCTTTCCCACTCCGTTGAAAAATGCCGGTATTCTTCCCACGATCACGTTTTGCGTATGCCTGCCCATCGGCTACCTTTCCGTGCTCTCTTTGCATGTGCCGGGCGAGGCTGGAAGAAACGGCGCAGCGGTCAGATCACGACTTAGCTTAGAGTTATGAAGAAGTTAGCTTCAGCTTTGGCTTCCGTCGGTGCAGCCCGCCTTCCAGGTTGGGGCCCAAGGGATGAGGATTGTCGTTGGTTAGAGACGCTGAGAGATATGGCCCAGAATAGAAGTCAGTGGCGCGAATACTGTACGGTCTGACTGTCGAAATCCCGTGCCCCGTAAAAACAGCAAACAACAAAAAAATTTCAAAATGTGTCCGGTGAAATACACAAAAAATTGTTATTCCGTTTATTCGTAATCTTCAATTCTGATAGTTACGTCTTTCGCTATACTCTGTATCCCAACCCCCCTCACGTTATTCTTATTGTTAATATTGTGGCGTTGGCATCATGTTTGTTCTCAAACCGGTGTTAAGTATATATACATATATATCTTCCCATGCCATCTTTTCGATCCTAAAAGTTATGGTCATCGAGTCTAACTTCTACCGTTTCGAAAAATTTCGAAATCATCATCTCGGATCGGCTGCGTGCATTTCTCGAAGGTGAAGGTTAGCTGCATAACCGCCAATATGGATTTTACCCTCGTCAATCCACGGACTGCTTGCTGGCTCTCATCGCATTCCTGATATACTGTACTCGATAAGCACAAAGAAACTCATTTTTCTAGCTCAACCTTTCAAAGGCCTTCGACTGAGTTTGTCACAAACGTTTGCTCTCGAAATTACCCTCGTTTGGATTTCATCCACCTCTTGAATTGTGGCTGTCATCATCATCGTACAGTGAAATACAGTGAGGCGATCTTCACTGATCGCTGCCAAACTCGCGATGCATATAAGGTTAGTGGTAAAATTTAAGGTGGATAAGGATTGGACCTATTTTGAGCGAGGAGGAAGAAGGTGAATCACTATGGTCAACACAGAGAGCATAATCGAACTCTGCACACATACCGTTTCAAGCATTCTGACCTGATAAGAAACGACAACATGAACGCCACTGCTGTCGGTTCGCTGCCATATTTTTCAATGTATCCAACTAACCAGTTGTGGAGTCTTTCAAACACCAACCTGGAAGGTGAGAGATGCCTACTCTACCTAATGGCTCTGTACATTTCATGCCTCGTCTCCACGTCATCTGTTTACATCCGCGTGGTTTCCTACAGCCCGGATTAGCTAGCTACAGCGATTAAAGCGCAGTGCGGCAGACGATGACTGGGCATACGCAATACGTGCCCTAGCCACCGAAGCCTAGTAATCTGAATTCGGTGTGCCAGCAGGTTTATGCCTGACAGACTCCCAAAGACACGACGGCTTACCCCCACGTTA